TCCTCAACTTGTCTGATGGCTTCTGGCATTTTCTCTGCAGAATGAACACAAAGATGAGGTCATCCTTAATTCCTCCACTGCCAACGCCCCCCTCCCCCCATCTCCTCCTGCCTACACCTGGCCCCACAGCATCTGGGGCAGCTGCCGACTTCCCTCTCTCCCCTGGGTACTAAGTCTGATTCCAGCAGTACTTTGGGGAGGGCAGCAGGGTAGTCATCCCCACTCAAGGAGTCCTACTTTTAGTGTGAAGAGAAGAACTTCCACCACTTGAAACAGTTACACAGGGCGCAGCCACAGAAATGCCTCAAGCACCGACCCATGTGTCCTGCCTGCGAGCTCAGTCTCCGTGGCCAGGAGAACAGGCTATTTCTGGACTCTCCCTGGTGTTGGGATGAATGGTCTGATGCTGCCGGTAGCCTGGGTGATGGCACAAACCCATCTCCAATGTTAGAAGCAAAGGAAAGCGAGTGAGATGCGGCGTCTCTGCTTCCTGAAGTGGCTGTGGCTGGTTTGTTTCCTGTTAGCTGCCTTCCTCTCAGAAAAATAGAGGCTGGGAAGAGCAGGATTTGAAAGAAAAGACTGGAAAAGACTCCAGGCCTTCTGGATGAAGTTTAGGGCTCACATGCGATGTGTGCAAGGAGTTGGCCTGGAGTCAGACAGCGCTCCAAGAAAGTGCTGCGTTGGTCCTTTTGGGGTTTTGCACACCACCCCTGTTGGCTACGGCAGTGAAGCAAGGAGATTCCTGGCAAGACCAGAGAACCAGCTGGAAAACTGCAGGCGCTGGGATGGGGGGTAGGGGGTGGGGGTGCGCGGGAACCCTATATGGGTGGTCTCAGCTGAGTAGCATGGAGCAAGCAGAGGGGCTGGGATAGAGGCCTTTTCCATGAGCAGAGGCAGCCCAGAGGCCACATGAGGGTGAAGGATGACTGCACGCCACTAGAGGGGCTTCACTCTCAGCTGTATCCTGGGGAGCAGCCTAGGGGGCAGCTTTGAGAGCAGCTTGGCAAAGCAGCCCTGCCTTCAGGGCTTGAGATGGAAGACCCGCCCCCCCCCACCCCGCCATCCTCAACCACACACCTGCACCTCACCTAACCCCTCTGGACCACCCAACTCCCTATCTACAAGGAGGATTAACAGTGCCCACCTGGTGGGGACACTGAGAGGATCAGAAAGATCACATGTAGATTCTAGGGGAAAATTCACTGAATCAAGGGACTTGGGCAAATGGTGCGGAGACCAGAAAATATAAGGCTAAAGACAAAGACAACCATTTGTAAACCTTGTTGTCTGTTTGGTAAAGTAGTTTCATATAGGGTCAGGCTTAGTACTGCTGAAGTAGATGGACATGCACACCAGACTAAACAGAAAGGTGGTGATGGGAGCCATCGTCCAAGTTGTCCGCAGTGCTCACTGGCCGTTAAGTTTCCCTGACCGGACAAGGGAGGCACACAGAACACAGAGACTAGTCAATGAGCTGTCCTACTAGGGCATATTTAAGTATTATAGTAACAATCAACAGCCATTCAATTATTTTGGCTGCAAAGCAAATTATCCCAAAATCTAGTGCCTAAAAAACACCTTTTACTATGCTCAGTTTCTGTGGATGGGGGAATTCAGGCAGGGCACAGAGGTGGTGGCTTGTCTTTACTCTGTGATGTCCAGGGCCCTAGATGAAATGCGAAAGCTTGGAGGCAGAATCATCTGGAGTCGCTTTCACTCACACATCTGGTGGCTAACTGAAACCTGTTGCTTAGAACACCTTCCTGTGGCCTCTTCATGTAATATGAGCTTCCTCACAACATGGTGGATGAGTCGAAAAGAGAGTGGAAGCCATATCATCTTTTATGAGCTTCCACCAACAGTCACAAAGCATCACTCCTCTGGATTCTATTGGATGAAGCAGTTACAAAATCCACTCAGGTTCAGAACAAGGGATCCTGTCATGTGTAAGGAGAGCATGTAGGATAGAATATACATTGGCGTAGCAATCTTTGGGAAATCCAGACTCCCAGAGCTTCATCTTATCTTTCTCCTCTTCTAAGGTCAATGCTGTTTCCTCGGGTGTGGTTATTTTCAGATGTTCTATGTGCCTTTGCATAATGGACACTATAGAATTTGATTTGGGGCTTTTGTGAAGAAGAATGTCATGTTAATTTTTACATACATAGGACCATCTCTACATTCTCTTGCATCTTGAATTTTCATGTGAAAGGAATTTATCAGTACTTCTTTTTAAAATTATAGAGCAGTATTCCATAATTTTATTATGTTGTAATTTATTTAACGATTTCTCTATTTTGATGAATCTTTGAAATGTTTCCTATTTTCTATTATTAAATGTTGCTGCAGTAAATAATTCCCTAGGTGCTATTTTATGTATGTAGCCCCAAAGTGACTGTTTATCAGGAAAAGGGTAATAGATAAGTGTTTGATGAAAGAATATGCCCACTTGTAATTGTAAAGGGTATCACCACATTTCCTCTCAGAAGGAAAATTACATTGTTAACAATACAGTATAAGAAAATTCATTTTCTTGAATCCTCACCAGAACTTGGTGTTGTCAATCATGTTAACTCTTGCCTATGTTATAGGTGGAAACTGATGTACTGTATATCATGGTTTTTAGAGTTGTAGTTCCCTTATTAAAATTGGATTGAACATCTTCTCATACATTCACCAGCCATCTGCATTTCTTCTCATGGGAATTCCCTGTTCATTTCCTTTACTTGTTTTTCTGTTTAGTCTCACTAAAAGAGAGAGAAATGCAAATTGAAACAGTAAGATATTTTTAAAACAATGAAGTTAAGGAAAATGACCAAGACCCATAATGCTTGTGAAGATTATCATTTTAAGTGGAGAAAATCAACCCTATAATTATAAATGTTAATTTGTATTTTCTTTCTACATATTTTTAATTAAAACACAACATCTGAACCATATGAAACCATTCTAGTTGTTTCACACCAAAGTTAATTTTTTATAATAGTAAATGCAATCTTGTGTATCATTTAATTGGCTGAGCCTTCTTTTCCTCCATACATTTGTTATTGACATTATCCCTTAAAAATTTTAACCTCCCCCAGATAGGTATGGTGGCACATGTCTGTAATCCCAGTGATTCTGGAGGTTGAGGCAGGAGGATCTCAAGACCAGCCTCAGCAACTTAGTGAGATCTTGTCCCCCAAAATAAAAAGGAATGGGGATGAAGCTCAGTGGTAACATGTCCCTGGTCTCAACCTCCAGTGCATACTCCCCTCCAAGAAAGGGATGGGGGATGTTGCTCAGGGATTCAAACCCAAGTACAAAAAAAGAAAGAGAGAAAGAGAGAGAGAGAGAGAGAGAGAGAGAGAAAGAAATTCTAACTTAAAATATTTATTTCTCAATTAACTGTCATATTGTTGATCTTATTTTTGTGTGTGTGCTGTTACACCCTTGTTTTTGTAAGGCAGTTCTCTGTATTTATTTGGCTAGAAAAAATACTTTTAGAGTGCAGTGGTGCATGCCTGTAATCCCTGCAACTGCTGAGGCAGGAGGATCCCAGGTTCAAAGCCAGCCTCAGCAATTTAGCAATGCCCTAAGCAACTTAGGGAGACTGTCTCAAAATAAAACACTAAAGAGTACTGAAAATATGGCTCAGTGGTTAAGCACCCCTGGGTACCAGAAAGAAAAAAGAATGTCTCTTTGTTGTTGCAGGTGTGACTTTTCATCATTCATTGGAGCTCCCTATTTTCCTCCATGCAGGGACCTCACCCTCTGGGCAAGAGAAGGAGGCAGGAAAATGCTGGCAGTGTGGATGATGTTGGTATTGCTTCTGGAATATTAGGATTATTTTCAATCCATCACCTTTTAGGAAATTCTAAATAGAATTGATGGGACTGAGCAGGGGTTGGGTAAGAATTAGCTGCAGAGTAAAATGGTGCTGAGTGCGCTAGAGGAAGTATATTCAAATGTGAGGACATCCTGGAGCTAAGAGACAAGGCGTGCTGGATTTGTGCCAGGCTGACTGTGGCCAAAGCATGGTTTGTGCAAGTGCAGGAGAGGCGAGTCTCAGAGTCCTCCTGGGAGAGAACCAGCATGCCTTGGAGCTGCAGAGATCTGAGGTGCAGAGAGAGCAGCCAGCTCCATGAGGCACGGGATGCCCTTGTCAACCTGATGTGTTGGTTGCTTATTCATTCATTAACTTGACAATTATTTCCAGAGTGTTTGGTAATATGTTAAACATTGCTCTAGATACTAGGAATATAATGGGGGAAAGAAAGGACATCTCTACCTTCTTGGAGCTAGCTTTTAAGGAGGAAGAGACAGATACAGGTAAGTACATGGGACACACACATGAATTATGTATTCCTGAGGGTGGTGACACCATAACAAAAAGCCAGTTAGTCTCAGGCAACAGAGATGGAGAGCTGAAGAGTACGCTTTCCTTTGTGGTATGAGCAGCCTTCTCTGATGGGGTGACATTTCAGCAGAGATGGTCATGAGTGAGCCCCACAGGGAGGCAGGGGAGAGAGCCTAGAAAGACAGGAGGAAAAACAAATACCAGGCCCTGAGCGTGGCAGAGGAGGCCCCCTGGTATGTTTGAGTAGCAGAGAGAAGTCTGGAGCTGCAGGAACGGAGCCAGGGTATATATACAGGAGACAGGTGGAGGCTCAGAGGGCCGAGAGCCTAAAGAGGACCAGGTGGGAACTCTGGGCTAGGTAATATAGAGGAGGTGAGATTTTTTTTTTCATCCTGTGTCCATGGTGTGAAGTAAGCCCACTTGGATGTGGGGTGATGATGTAGGTATGTGAGCGTGTGTGTCGGTCGAGTGCATCTGGTGTGAGTTTGTGTGTGTGTATGTTTGTGGGGTTAAGTGAATGTGTGTGTCTTTCATATCCAGGTGTGTATGGATGTGTGTGTTAATGCTACTGTATAGAATATTTGTGTGTGTTCAAGCATTTTTAACTTATGTGATCATGCATGTGTGTGCACATGTCTATGTGTGTATAAGTGTCTATGTATGTGTTTATATTTCATGTCTTTATATGCATACATGTATGCATCTGTGTTTTGTGTTTGTATCCCTGATAACACACCAGACAGAAAAGGTCTCAGGAAGAAATGAGCTCACACTGGGAAACCTCTCCTATCACCCTGGCTGGGTCTCTGTCCTTGCCATGAGTCATAGAACAGACCCATGTCACTGATGACATCATAGAATATAGTCAGGATCCTAGTGACCGTGAAGAGCCCAGCAGCCACTGGGCTGGGGCCAGCCAGAGGGCTTCAGTACAGCCCAAGCCAACTTTCACCAAACAGCTGGAGCACTGAGACCCTGGGTGCTGATTTCAAATCATGAGACGCTTTTTCATGGACCACAGGGGAGAACAGTCACCCATTGATGGGACCACCCTCAGCGTGACCAGCCTTGAGTCCACAGAAGAGAATATGGAATTGTGCCATCCAGGTGGGTCAAAAGGAAGGGCTGGAGTTGAGCTAGGTATACTCTCTGGGACGGAGACCCAGGGGAAGGCATTAGGGATGTGTTCACCATCAAAATTGATGGTGATGAAGGAGGAAATCAGTCTTTACAGGAGACCTAAGCTGCTATTCAAGTACCCAAGGTGGTTTCAGGAGATATATGTTTGAAAATGTGAAATGCTCACCGTTGTATGTTTATTTTTATGTGTCTTTGAAGAAATAACACGTTAATCCTTTGACTTTAGCAGTGATGTAAAAATTTCTTTATAATAAATTGATTCAAGTTTATCTAGAACATCCATTTGAAAGCTACCAGGATATGTCCTTGGGCAAAGGATGTGTCCTCAGGGTAGCATTTGCTCTGGAGGCCAAGTGGCTCCACGAGTCATTTAAAGTCTCTGTGCCTCAGTTTCCTCATCTGTCAAATGGGAGTTCATAATGATGCAGTTTCTTAGGATTGTTTTGAATATTAAAGGAGTTAAAACATGGCAAGCGCTTATATGGTGATGGATACAGTCAGGGTTCAAGGAGGGATGGGGGAGATGCTCCTCTGGGTAAAACAGAGATATGTCACAAACTGAGGAGAAGGAGTGGTTGAATGGCCAAAGCACTTGCCATTCGTTGTTTTTGTACATAGGTTTCACTGAGCTGTTATGTATGTTCAAAAACTTCACAGATTTTAAATGTACAAATTTTAAGCATTGTTACAAGCGTACATATGTGTAAGCACCACCTGGATCAAGATACAGAGCATTATAACTCTCAAGGGTTCCCTCATGTACCTTTATGGTCAGGGCCTTCCTCCCCACCCCTTAGTCCTTGCTGCCAGCTCTTGGCAGCCTGTTCTGTTCCTATAAATTTGCCTTTTCTAGAATGTCATCTAAATGGAATCAAAAATTGTGCAGCCTTTTATATCTGGCTTCTTTCATTTAGCGAATGCATTAGAGATTCACCCATATTGTTGCACATATCCATAGTTTATTCATTTTTTTTTCCTGGATAGAATTGCATCCTGTGGCTATACAATCTGTTTATTCACCAGATGATGGCTTTGGGGGGCTTATTCAAGTCTTTGGTGATAACATTGCATATAATTACTTGATGCTTACCATCACTGCACACTGCAGGCACTATTGTATCTCCGAGTTATGAGGAAACTGGTAAAGACAGGTTATGGGACCTGCCCTGGGGCCCCCAAAGCCTGTACCGTCCAGAATCTGTGGCTGCTGAAGTAGGTAATATACGAATCCCTTGGAGAGGGCACTGATGAGAATGTCCTTCTGCTTCTCAGGAAACATAAAGAATGAGGAAACATCTCCAGAGCCAGGACCTGCCCTTCCCCATGAGAAGGACACCCTCTTCACAGCCCGGGCTCGGGGGATGCTGGGCTGGAGCAGCTCTCCATCATCCCAGTCCTCAGATTACCAGTCCTACTCCCAATACCGGTCTTGCTTCTCCTGTATGTGCAACGACCAGGACGCCACCCCACAGAGCTTGTGTGCCCTCTACACCCGAGTGCAGACAGTACGTGGAGTGGCGGTGGCCTGGGAGACAGAAACTGGCTTCCAGCCGGTCAGCAGGAAGCCCCGCATCCGTGAAGCCGAGTTCATCAAGAGACAGAGGCGGAAAGGCTCTTCCTTTGAGATGGCTTCCAACACTGACCTGCACTGGGAGTTGGAAGCCAGCAAAAACAACTGCTGTCCAGAGACCGACGACGCAGAGCTGCTGGAGCCACTGGAGTGCTGCCTCCAGGACCTGCGGACCCACCCAGACTGGCTGGTCACCACCAACTATGGGCTCCGCTGCTTGGCCTGCTGCCGTGTCTTCCCCTCACTGGAGGCATTGCTGGAGCATGCCCAACATGGCATCCGAGAAGGCTTCAGCTGCCAGATCTTTTTTGAGGAGATGCTGGAGAGGAGGAAGACCCAGGGCCAAGGGCAGGACCAACCGCTGGAGGAAGAGGAACAAAGCCTTTCTAACAGTAGTGAATGTTCCAGGTCCCAGAGCAAGGTGCTTCTTTCACAGCAGGAGGAGGAGGAGGAGAAGCAGCAGCAGCAGCAGCAGCAGCAGCAGTGAGCTGGAGGTGAGGTGCCCACCCCTGCCCTCACCTGCAGCACCTGGGGCTGCTCCTTCCCCAGTCAGCAGGAACAGAGCCACCTGGGCAGGGAGAGAGGACCAGGGTCTTGGAGGAAGAAAGCAATGGAGCTTGGAGCAGCAAGACAGGAGGGGAAGAGGCCCTTCCCCAGGGCACAGCATTTCCACCAGCGTCTGTTTCAAACCTGAATCCAAAGCAGAAGGCTTTGAGCATTCCTGATGGTGGGCACAAGATCAGAAACACAAGTGTGTGACTACAGGGATTTCTATTTTTCCTGGGCATCAGCAGGCCCATGCTTGCTCTATAAGTAGATGTGACTCACAAGCAAGCCAACTGCAAATGAAGCTTCTGCCCTATTTTTTTTTCATTGTTAGGAATCTGTCATATGCCCTAGTTCTATGTCTTATGTTATTGGGATTAAACTTGAATAACTCTAAGAAGGCAGTGACTAATTGAGTGGACCATGTTTTCAGGTCATACCCATAAGAAGTGGCCATTTCTGTAGGTTATGAACTAGCACACACCTGGGGAGTCAGGTAGCTTTGCAGGATAGACACAAGGCTGGGGAAGTCCTTCTGTGAGTTCATAGGTGTCAACTATATGGGTTTAAATGTTGCCATGAAATTCACTTACACCTTTCAACCCATTTCCCCTGCAGGTGGTGGGGGGGAGGCTGCACTCATTCAATAAAAGCTATCAATTTCCATCCAGTTTGCATTAGATATACCAGCTGCTGGAGCACATACAGGCTGAGCAGCATCCCTTATCTGGAGTGCTTGGTACCGGAAATATTTGGGGTGTGGGATTTTGGGGGGATGGGAGCAAATCTAAATATAAATTTCATTTATGTTTCCATATGCTCCTTATATCTTGAAGGTAATTTTATATAATACTTTTAGTGTGCCTGTTTATTTTTGGGGGTGGGTGGGTACCGGGGATTGAACTCAGAGGCACTCAACCACTAAACCATACCCCCAGCTCTATTTTGTATTTTACTTAGAGATAGGGTCTCAGTGAGTTGCTTACCACCTCGCTTTTGCTGAGGCTGGCTTTGAACTAGCAATCCTCCTGCCTCAGCCTCCTGAGCTGCTGGGATAGCTTGCCTGTTTTAACTGTGACCCATCTAGAGAAGTCAAGTATAGAATTTTCCACTTGTAATGTTATATCAGAGCTCAAAAATTTCAGATTTTGGAGCATTTCAGAGTTCATACTTTGGAGCATTTCAGAGTTCAGATTTTGGGATAAGGGGCTCCACTATACACCAAACTCTATCACTTCCATGACATAAAACAGGCAAAAGGATGGATCACATCGAGGAAGTTGGGGATCCCAGAAGAGGAGCCTCAGATACAAACCATTTGATCAGGAGGCAAAACCTTTCCAGAAGAGGCACTGCTCACAGGACTTGGAGGATAGGTGGTCTAAACTAGGGTAAGGGTTCTCAATGGCAGCTTTGTTGACATGGTAGGCTAAATGTTTTTTAGCTGTCCTCTAACCAATAGCTGTCAGTAGCATTGCCTCTCCTGCAGTTGCAGAAATAAAAAAAAAAAAATATCTTCAGATACAGCTATCCCCTGATGAGTTAGACCAAACAGGGACCTTAGAGGAGAGAAGACACAGTACATTTTGGGAATTGCCAGGTGCTTTGACCTGGCTGCATGTCCCAGGCATTGTACTAAGCATGGGGAATAAAAAGTGAACAAAGGGGGGAAAAGCAATCCATGTCTGTATGTGGAGCTTATGGCCAGTGGGTGAGGGGAAATATATATATATCTTAAAATAATTATTAAAGTACTTTTTCATGGCCTATAGGGCCCTACAGAACTCAGCCTTTGCCACTCTTTCCACCATCTGTTAGCATTCTCTGCCTCACTGTGCTCCAACCACATAGAATGTTTTCTTTCCCTAACTTATCAAAGCTTTCAAACCTTAGAGCCTTTGCGCCTGCATTCTCTCTGAAGTGGAATGCAACCCTTTCCTGTCTTTCCTCGGGCTAACCCTCCGGCTATCTCTTTGCTCACCTCTAAGGTTTCAGCTCTGAGGCTGTCCTCAGTCATGCTGTCTCAGCTTATGCCTCATACTAAGTGCAGCTGGTTTTAAGAAAAAGTGACAATTTCATATTTTAAAAAGCTAACTTTGCAGTGTATGGGTTGGGATGGCAGCTAAAAGGGGAAAGTGAGAAGTAGAGAGATCATTTAGGAGCCTATTGCACAAGTCCAGGCCAGGGAAGGGAATGACTTGGACAAGGCTGGTCACAAGCCAAGAGGGATAGGGATAGGATATTCAAGACCCTGGGAAATTAGAGACCAAAAGACTTGGGGATGGGCACAAGTGAAGACGTAGCAGGGGGTTCTCAAGGGGGACTCTGGTTCCTAGCAGGAGCAGATGAGGAGTGTGGGCGTTAATTGATAAGGAAGGACTTTGGGAGGAAGATCAGTGTGATTGTGTGTGCAAGTTTGTGTGTGTGTAAGTGTGTACATGTTTGCAATGAGCATGTCTGTGTGTGTGTGTGTGTGTGTGTGTGACCGTATGTGTGAGCGACCGTATGTGTGAGCATTGCCTGCATGTAGACATGCAGGAATAAGTGTGGGTAGGGTGACAGGGGTCAGTTAGGACATGGGCTCTTCTAAATGCTGATGGCGTATTGAAGTAGAGATGTGGAATAGAAAGAGGTTTCTAATTTAGAACTCCGACAAGTCTGAATTGAAAACCTAAATAAGGAAGATAACAGCACATGAATGGAAACATGTTAGGCCCCAACAGTGGGTAGGTAGTGCAGAGTTAGCATGAGGTTATTTTCAACTCTACAAACTCTACCCCAGTAATAGGATCTGGAAAATAAGAAATGGGGTGTAGTGCATGTTCTAAGATTTTTCTTCAAAGTCAACAAAGAAAGAAAATATGATTCTCAGGATGGTGAGAAGTGTTAAGTGCCAGGGAGAGTTAGAGTGAGGAGACGATGAGATGTTTCCCACCTCCTTTGGTGCCTGGAGGTTGCTCATGGCTCTAATGAAGCAGTCTCAGTGGCCAAGAAGGGGAAAGGTCATGGTCAGTCATGGACACAAGACAAACCTCCAGGGACAAGCATGAGACATCCCTGCTGGCAAGTTTAGCTAGAAGAAAAAAATGTTTATAGCTGGACCAAAGGAAACTAAAAACCAAAGTTGATAGAGTAAACCTATGTGGTAATGGAGAGGATCTAGCAGAGAGAGAGAAACTGATTGTGCAAGAAAAACTGGGAAAGTCTGAGGAGGCAAGCAGGAGAGAGAGAGGAATGAGTAGATAGGAAAACGACGGGCTTCAAATGAGTGGTTTGTGTCCTCTGTTGTGCACAGATGAATGGTTAGGTCAGGTAGAACTTTGGAGCCCAAATTAAGGAACTTGAGCACCCCCCACCAAATAACAAGGAAAGATTTTAAGCAAGTCATATTTGCGTTTGAGAAAGATCACCTCAATGAATGGGGTAAAGGATGGGTAGGAGAGCAACACAGAGGACAGGAAGCTTAGGTAGAGATGCTGGCAGGAGGAACTGAAGAGAAATTTTAAAGATTGAAACAATGGAGCATGGCTGGTGATTTTTGAGGGTGGTGAGAGTAAAGTGTTCAGAATAACTTATGGATTTTTAAATTTTTTTCTTGGATGGTTGTTGAATGTTGGTGCCATTTGCAAATAAAGGAACATGAAGAGGAAGAGAAGGGGGAGGAGGGGGGAGGGGTGGAGGAGGAGGAGCGGGAGGATGACAACGGTTGACTGAGAAGCTAAGCCCCCTTTTGAAGATGCTGAGTTTAAGATAGGAACATCTAGAAAGGGAGTGGAGCTTGGAAGAGTGGTAAACTAGGATGAAGACAGATTTGTGCCCATCTGCAGGTGTTTTTCATAGCCAGGCAGCCTGGCACCAAACCTATGTTTTAACCATCACACCAGCATTCATACTTTAACGTAAAGACAGATGCAAGGTATTTAGGAGAGCAAACATGTCAGCTCCACAGGCTGTATTTTCTTTAGATTAAGTAGCAACAGCTGGAGACCAGGGAAAAGCTGATAGGTATTTAGGACAAATGAAGGATAGCAACAACTTCAGGTAAGCAAACCTTTTAAGGAAAGGATGGCTTCAGCTGACATGGAGGGAGGAGGAGAGGACACAATTATTCTTAAGGTAGTGACTACTTCCTAAACTCAGGTGAGTTAAGTGTAACTTGTGGTTTAAACCTATCAATTTACAGAGACCTGTGACCTCCAGAGATAGGGGAAACTGGAGGGTTCAGGGGGACCCCAAACATTCTAGATTATAAACTACTTTAAATTTCATTTTCCCAAGCCATAGAAAAAGATGGAACTCATTTCACAAGACTTACATAAACCTGGTGACAAAGCCTGACAAAGATGACATGAAGTAAATGACATATGAGTCCCACTTATAAACACAAAATGATCACTAATTAAATATAACTGCATATGAAAGGGATAATTCACCATTACTAAGTTTGCATCATCCCTTGATTAATTAAAATTATTGCATCTAGAAATACTTCATATTGAAAGAACAAATGGTTATCTCAAAAAAATGTTAAATGAACATGATAATCAGAAATAAATCTGTACATGTATGGTCAATGACCTTTTCAAGAAGGAATACTAAGTTAAGTCAAAGGAGAAAGAATAATCTTTTTTATAAATGGTACTGGGACATCTGGATATCTGCATGCAGAAGAGTGAAGTTGGATCCTTCCCTCACACCATACATAAAGATTAACTCAAAATGGAAAAGACCCCAAATGGAAAAGAGCTAAAACTAAAACTCTTAAAGGTAACATAGGTGTAAATTTGAAAACGCATCCACACAATATTCACAGCAACATTATTCCTAATAAAAAAAGAAAAATAACTATGACTAAAAAGGAAATAACATGGAAAATAGCCCATTCACTATTTCTTAGTACATTTTTGGTTTCTACAACAAAATACCTGAAACTAAGTAATTTATAAAAAAAATCTATGTTTATATGGCTCATGGTTCTGGAGGATGGGAAGTCCAAGATCATGGCTCTGGTATCTGATGGGGGTATTCTTTCTGAAAACAAAACATGGTGTGGGGATGTATCACATGGTAAGACTGAGCAAGCATATCTGCTTGGGTCTGTCTTCCTCCTCTTATAAGGCCACTATGGGGGCCCACCCTCAAGATCTCATGTAATCCTAACTACCACCCGAAGACCCACCTCCGAGTACATTAACATATAAATTTGGGGATTTTTTCTAACACTTGAACTTTCGGGGGACACATTCAGAGCAGATCACACTAGCCAACAGAAATTCATGGAAATATTGCAAACACAATGAAATGTCCAAGTGATCATCACTAGTTGATAATTTTTGGGGGGGTACCAGTTGACAATTTTTTCCCTTTAGTTTATATCATGTTTTGAGTTTAGCAAGTGTGTCTTCTGAGAAAAAGGCAATGAAACATTTCATTGTAACAGTGCCTCAGTTTGAAATAACTTTGTGTGTGGCGGGAGGGGGGGCGCGCAGGTTCTTGTTCACATTCGTGGTCTTCCGACCGCAATGTGAGAAACCTAGCTCTTGACATCTTAAACCCTGGTTCTTCAGAATTAAATTAGCTTTAATTTTCTTAGCACTTTATAGTGGATAAGGACTCAACCAACTCAAAAGAGTGAAATGACAAAGCTGGTTTGAAAGTGTGTCCTTATTTCTT